ATATATGTTTACAGATATTCTGTTAAAATTTTTAGTAATGGTAGCGCTATGATTTGGGTCCCTGGTTGAGAACCAATCTCACAGCTGATATTTGAGAAAATGCTGACGACATGTCTTAGGATAGAGAACCAGCTGCATTGACACAGATATGAACTCATATTTCGTAAAGCCTTAAAGTAGCAAGCGAGATACGACTAAACCAAACAGAGGAACCAAGGCATTAATTAGACAGCCAAACTACACTTTAAGATAGTCCTTGCGGACGTGTCGTTCTCCTTTACCAACTGCCTGTTTTTGAGGTCAGAGACAAGAGTATGCATATCTCTGGATTTCCCACATGTTGTGGGACTGCACAGTGTTCCTTGCCACAACAGGGCCACTGGGCTAGTACTCAGAGAACTGCCTCCACCAACACCATCCAACTTGTTGTGGTCCTATGTTTCAGAGTAGAACTATGTTCTATAGGGTTTTCAACAGCTGATTTTTCAGAAGCAGATCACCAGGCATTTCTTTCAAGGGGCCTCTGGGTTGCATCTACAGCCTTATGATTAATAGCGAAGCACATTAACCATTTGCTCCACCCAGGGACTCCCATGTCATTGATTTCCTTCTCTGTATAATGAATGGGATTGGTCTCATCAGCTGTGCCCGAGTAACCAGAATATGGTGAGGGTCTAATGAGAAAACAGGAGCCCTTGGGGTGCAATAATTAAGCATTCATCTGCTAACTGAAATATTGGCTGTTCAAATCTACCCCGTTCCATGAGGCATAGACTAAAAACCAAACCCAGTGCCATAAGAAAACTGGGGCAGTTGGTTGCTATGAGTCAGAATTAACCTGATGGCACCCAGCATGGAGAAAACATGTGAAGAAGTACACAAAGTACTGCAAAGCGATATGCACATATTGTTTCCATACAACATCATACGAGTGTATCCTTAGATTACTGCAATAACTTACTAGTTGACTCTTGCTTCCATCTTGATTAGTTCAAAATAGAAATCAGAGCTGGCCACTCCTAGACAAACACACTCCTATAACTTCCATGACACTGAAAATTACATCCAAACTCCTCACTGTGGCCCAGAATGATCAGGCCTCCGCTTTTCTCTCCACCGCTAATGTCACTTTTTCCATGCTGTAGTCACATGGGCCTTTATTTTGTTTCTGGAACTTACCATCCTTCTTCCTACCCCTGTTCTTTCCACCAGGAATGGTCTTCCCCAAACCTCTGAAAAATTGCTCCAGGATCTCATGGGTCAGGCTGTCCCCGACCTTCTACCTCTAGTGACCAACCCACCCCTTCCTTGACTCCAGATCACATTTTCTTTTACTTCCTTTATAGCACTCATTACTATCCGGAATCCTCTCTATCATTTATGTGTTTGCTCCTTATTTCTCCCCACTGGAATGGAAGTTGCTGCCCCATAAGTAAAGCAGTGTAGCAGGTAAGGGAATAAAGGACTTGGAAAGAATTGAACAGGGATAAGGCTACAGGGCTGGCAAGTTTGCTTTGATTACCTCGTTCATCGCCAGAAACTGTAAACTTGTGTGGACTCTGACCGGTCCACAGTCCTACATAGCCAAGAAAAGTGGTTCCTGTGTATGCAATCTGAAATCAAGAAACAAAGCAGCATTTTACTGTTTCAACCAAATACACATTGCAAGGATCTGTTTTACCCCACAAATCTGGTGCATTTTTAAAAAATAAGTTCCAATGTAATAGAATGGTGGTGGTGGTGGTGGTTCTGTGCCATGGAGTCGGAACCGACTCATAGCGACCCTGTACAGGATTTCCAAGGCCGTAAATCTTTACAGGAGCAGAAAGCCTCATCTTTCTCCCATGGAACAGCTGGTAGTTTCGAACTGCTGAACTTGCGTTTCGCAGCCCGATTCATAACCACTACGCTACCAGAGCTCCTTAATGTAATAGAATAGAATCTCTGACACAGACTTTCAGAATATAAATTTTTAACCTTGGAGGCCCATGGATAGAATTCAGTAGATTGGCGACCTTGGATGAGAATAAAAAACATATCTCTAGTTCACTAACCATTAACAAAAATTTATGTGGTGTTGTAGAATAAGCACTAGACTGCAAGGTTGGTGGTTCAAACTCACCCGATGCTCCTCAGAAATCCTATACAGGGTCGATATGAGTTGGAAACAACTTGATGGCCCTTAACAACAACATTAAAAATGCAGAGTGCTTATATGGTGCTGTAGGATAAGCACTAGAGTGGTAACTACAAGGTCAGCAGTTCAAACCCACCAGCTGCTCCTTGGAAACCCTATGCAGTGTTGCTGTGAGTCAGAATCAACTCAAATGCACTTAGCAGCAGTAAGAATGCATGCAACAACCATGTAGTAACAGCAGTGCCTGTGGTTTCTGTCACCAGCAGAAACCGCAGCTACTCTCAGAAATACAGCAATGGCTGCAGTGCTTGAAACATTATTCATGTTTATCAATATCCTGAAATGATTCTTGGATCAACTATCAACACTCGCGGAAGCAGTAGTCAAGAGATCAGAGGACATATTGCATTGGGCAAATCTGCTGCAGAGGAACTTTTTAAAGTATTGAAGTATTGTCAGCTTGAGGACTAAGGTGCGCCTGACCCAAACCATGGTATTTTCAATAACCTCATATTGATGCGAAAGCTGAATAGTGAATAAGGAAGATCGTAGAAGAATTGATGCCTTTGAGTTGTGGTGTTGGAGGAGAATACTGAAAGTGCCACGGACTGCCAAAAGAACCAATAGATCTGTGTGTTGGAAGAGTGCTCCTTGGAGGCCAAGATGGCTAGGCTTCGTCTCTCATACTTTGGACACATTGTCCGGAGAGAACAGTAGCTGGAGAAGGATGTCATGCTGGGTAAGGTAGAGGGTCAGAGAAAAAGAGGAAGACCCCCAATGAGACGGATCAGCCAGGTGACATCATTGATGGCGTCAAGTGTGGCGGCGGTAGTGAGGTTGGCCCAGGATCAGACATTGTTTCGTTCTGCTGTGCATGGGGTCGCTATGAGTCGGTTCCGACTCAATGGCACCTGACAACAACAACAATTACACCTGTTGCTTAATCTTACTATTTAATGCATTAAGAACACATATTTGCAATATTGAAAGGGTTATATTTCAACATAACTGACTTTCTTTGCAACCATGTGTATTTTTGCGTGTGTGTGTGTTAATGAAACATCTCAGAAGAGACAAAAATCCATAGGTTTCACCAGACTGCCAAAGAGATGCATCAGGCATGCAAAGGGTTAAAAAGCCCCCTCACAAAGGAAGCAAATGAACTGATTTAACTTGTGCTGGGTGACTTGGGTATGTTGTTGTTATTTAATAACCTTATAAATTCCTGTAAAGTATAGAGAAATAAATGAGACTGCTTATCAACAATAATAATGTTGTAAAAATTTTCTGTATATTACTTAATTTAATCTTCACAATTACCCCCACTTTAAATCAGGATAACAAGCTCCAGTGATTGCAAGGCATCACTATATAACCCTAGGAGAAAAATCAAACTCTTCATCAGTCATTTCGGACACTGATTTTATTTTTTAAAGAAATACTTAGTACAGAGACTGGTTTATAATGTTCAAAAAGGTTACTATGATTTTGGTGGGGAGGAGGACATGTACAGACCTAGGTTAATATTTTCACTTAGAAAATAGAATCTGAAAGTCAGAAAGCTTTTCTGTTTAATTATTGATCTATCATCTGGTTGTAAAATAATTTAAGGTGGCTGCATTCCAAGGTGTGGCACTGTAGGATTAGAACTGGACCACAAGGTCAGCAGTTCAAACCACCAGCTACTCCTCAGAAACCCTATACAGGGTTGCTATGAATTGGAACTGACTTGATGGCATTTAACAACAATAACAACCTTCCAAGGAGCCCTGGTGGTGCAGTGGTTAAGTGCTCAGCTCTTCAAACCCACCAGCTGCTCCATGGGACAAAAACATGGATGGCATCAGCTCTTGGAAACCCTATGGAGCAGTTCTACATTGTCCTACAGTGTTGCTAAGAATCAGAATCATCTTGACAGCAATGAGATTTTTTACATTACAAGGAAGAACATAGTGGTTTTACTTTTACAAAGGACCTTCCCCTCCAGATTCACCTGAACACACGTCCCATCTTCAATCATGGCAGTAAAATCTGCCTCCACCCTGTCTCACTCCTAAATCCTTACATAATGTAATGACATGACCACATCATTTGCATAACGCACTGATCCCTATATTCATGTCATTCTTGAAGGGCTGAACAAATTAAAATTATTAAAATAATGCGATCGTACTTCTGTTTCCAATAATTTTATAATTGCTGTTGTTAAGTGCCGTCGAGTCAATTCTGACCCATAGCCACCCTGTATAGGGTTTCCGAAGAGCAGCTGGTAAGCTTGAACAGCCGACCTTGCAGTTTAAATGGCTTTGCAGTCTGGCGCATTAACCCACAGTGCCACACCAGGACTATAAATAATTATAAAATATAATGTCTAAGATATATTATCTTGCACCTATTGAAAACTGTTTTTATTTCTGTTTATTTTTCCAAATATCTCTGCCAAATCAATCACCAAAAACAAACCTTAGTTATAACATGGGGCTCTAATTTACTGTCCAATTAAAGCCAAGATTGAAAAAGAGGAGTCCTAGTGTGGTGCTGTAGGATAAACACTAGACCGCAAGGTTGGTTTGAACCATGAGAACGGTGGTTCAAACTCACCAGCCACTCCTTGGAAACCCTATACAGGGTTGCCATGAGTTGGAATCAACTCAACGGCATTTTACAACAACATTGAAAAAGTAAGCTATTAAGAGTATACAGATTCTAGTCCTGTTTCTGTCACACCACGGCTACAGAATCTGGACCAGTCAGTCTAAAGTCCAGACTTCTTTTCTGGAAAATGAGGACGAAAACATTAACTTGTGTCTGCCTCACAGGACAGCTGTGGGGATCAAGTGAGATCATGTGTATGAAAATACTTATAGAGTATTTTGTGAATAATCTATTCTTAATTCAGAAAAGCAATTTATTGGCTATGGGCTCTTGGGAGAAAGACCCAATGTGAACTGACCTGATTCAGAAATAATACGATGAGCACTTAGAGTAAAGCCACCCCAATAGGTTACTTCTCCTGGGAGCCCCAGAAATGAATGAGGTGGTGGTGGTGGTCATTATGTGCCATGGAGTCGGAACCGACTCAGCGACCCTGTACAGAGTTTCTGAAGCTGTTAATTTTTACTGGAGCCGAAAGCCTCATCTTTCTCCCATGGAACATCTAGCTAGTTTCGAACTGCTGACCTTAAGGTTCAGAGCGCGATTCGTAACCACTACACTACCAGAGCTCCCTAGTAACTATTAATTAATTAGAGTCAGCTTTAGAGAGAACAATTCGTTTATTTTTTCTGCATTTATTCTTTTGTCTATTTAAAACAGTATATATGAAAAGCTAAAGAGGATAGAGAGAAACTCTGTTAACTGATGGTATGTGGAGGGGATTATAATCAATGTAATGAAACAAGGTATATGAATGTTTGAATGTGAAACTGATGATGTGCCCTGAAAACTTTCACTCAATCCACAATAAAAACCTTAAAAAAAACAAACAAAAAAACCCCAGTATATATGCTCCTTGTAAAATATGGATAAAAGCTTAAAATAGTAAATTAAAGTAATCTACTATTTTATTACCCATTAATAGTGATCATTCATATTTCTACCTATTTTCTTCCAGAATTTATTATGCATTTATATTGTCATTACTACCACTTAAATTTTTTTAAAGCAAATGCTTAGCTATAATAAGCCAAATCACTAACAAAGGAGACTGAAAAAAAAATAACATTGAGAAAGAAAAAGTTTTCACTTTAAATATTTCTGAATTGTTTAAATTTTTATGAGAAAAAGTTTTCACTTGTCAAAACAGATGGCCAACTACTTAACAAATGAGTCTTTACTATTTGACAGTCAATCAGTAAATTCGGAAAGAAACAAAATTGATTTCTTGTCCTTAAATAAAGCCTAACAGGTTGCATTTGTGTCTATTTTGATTCACAGCGATCCTACAGGACAGAGTAGAACTGCCCCATGGAGTTTCCAAAGTTCTAATGTTTACAGGTGAGGACTGCCACATCTTTCTTCTGCAGGAGCAACTGTGGGTCTCCTTGTGCTTAAATGTTGTTGTTGCTGTAAAGTGCTATCAAGTCGATTCCAATTCACAGTGACCCTGTATCGGGCTTTCAAGGAGCATGGGGGGTTTGAACTGTAGAGCTTCTGGTTTGCAGTCCAGTGTTGATCCCACAGTGCCACACCAGGAGTCATTAAATAAGGCCCCCCAAAGTCTAAATCAATCTGTATTCTGTTTCACAGTGATATCGTGGTTTTTGTATTCAATGAACACTGACTATAGGTATGACAGCAACATATATTAGGATATAAACTTAGAGAGACGGTATTGAAGACAAAATGAAAAGTACATGCTTTAAAGATCATACGCAAGAGTGTGGTGTAGGTCAAGTATGTTTGAAGAGTGTAACCTACTGCTGTGAACTTGATCCCAACTCATAGTGACCCTACGTAGGGTTTCCAAAGAGAGGCTGGTGGATTTGAATGACTGACCCTGCAGTTAGCAGTTCAGTGCTGATCCTACAACTCAACACCAGGACAGAGTAAAACTACCCCACAAGGTTCCCAAAGTTGTAATCCTTCAGGAGCAGACAGCCTTGTTTTTCTACTGAGGAGCAGGTACTGGATTCAAACAGAGAACTTTTAGGTTAGAGCCCAATGCTTAACCCACTGAGCCACCTGGACTTCTTTGTAAAGTAAAAGACCATTTGTTATTTGGTCACCTTTTCTTGAACTTCAACCACATGATTACCTTCTTTAAACTTTATAACTCTCTCAATAACCTACTGCAGTCTACTTGATTCCTATTCATCTCAGTAAAGTATTCACTCTATGGTATTAACCTCCTTGTGCAATAGTTTCCAAAAGAGGAGTAAATAATATCCTAGGTTCACAAAGGAAGTGACAGAAGCAGGAATCAAACCTAGGTCTACCAGCCTACAAAATTAAGCGGCATTACAGATTAGCCTTTGTACAAGGAGCCCTGGTGGTGCAATGCTTAAATAAACGTTTGGCTGCTAACTGAAACGTTGATATTTGAACCAACCTAATGGCTCAGATCAGCTCAAAGATCAGCTCGAAAAGATAAAGCCAAATATTACAACAAAATGTGCAAAGATCTGGAGTCAGAAGACCAAAAGGGAAGGACACACTCAGCATTTCTCAAGCTGGGGGAACTTAAGAAAAAATTGAAGCCTTGGCTTTTATTATTGAAGGATTCTCTGGGCAAATTACTGAATGATGCAGAAAGCAAGGAAGGAATATGGAGTCACTGTACCAAATGGAAATGGTTAATGTTCTACCGTTTTAAAAGGTAGAATATGATCAAGAGCCAATGATACTGAAGGAGAAAATACAAGGTTCATTGAAGGAATTGGCAAAGAACAAAGCACCTGGAATTGATGGAATAAACATTGAAATCTTTCAAGAAAGTGAGGCAGCACTGGAGGCACTCACTCATCTCTGCCAAGAAATTTGGAAGACAACTATCTGGCTGACTGATTGGAAGAGATCCATATTTTTACCCATTCCAAAGAGAGGTGACCCAACAGAATGTGGAAATCATCAGACAATCTCTTTGATATCGCATGCGAGTAAAGTTTTACTAAAGGTAATTCAGAATCGACTACATACATACATTGACAGAGACTCTCCAGAGGTTCAAGACTGATTCAGAAGAAGCATGAAACGAGGGATATCATTGCTGATGTCTGATGGATCTTGGCTGAAAGCAGAGAATACCAGAAGGACGTTTACCTGTGCTTTATTGACTATGCAAAGGCTTTCGCTTGTGTGGATCATGCCAAGCTACAGACAACACTGCGAAGTATGAGTATTCCGGAACACTTAATTGTGCTCATGAGGAATCTGTACATGGACAAAGAGGCAGTTGTTCGAACAGAACATAGGAACACTGAATGATTTAAAATTTAAAAAGGTGTGCAACAAGGTTGTATTCTTTCACCATACTTATTCAACCTGTATGTTGAGCAAATAATTTGAGAAGCTGCGTTATATGAAGAAAAATGTGGAGACTCATTAAATACCTGCGATATGCAGATGATACAGCCTTGCTTGCTAAAAGTGAAGACTTAAAATATTTACTGATGAAGAGCAGTCTTTGGTATGGATTGCATCTCAACGTAAAGTAAACAAAAATCCTCACCACTGGGCCAATAAACAACGTTCTTATCAATGGAGAAAAGATTGAAGTTGTCAACGACTTCATTCTTCTTGGATCAACTATCAACACTCATGGAAGCAGCAGTCAAGAAATTAAATGACGTATTGCACTGAGCAAATCTGCTGCACAAGACCTTTTTAAATTGGTGAAGAGCAAAGATGTCAGCTTGAAGACTAAGGTGCGCCTGACCCAAGCCATGGTATTTTCAATAACCTACTATGCATGCAAAAGCTAGACAGTGAATAAGGAAGACTGTAGATCAATTGATGCAGTTGAGTTACGGTGTTGGAGGAGAATATTGAAAGTGCCTTGGGCTGCCAAAAGAACCAACAGATGTGTGTTGGAAGAAGTGCAGCCAGAGTACTCCGTGGAGGCCAGGATGGCCAAACTTCGTCTCTCATACTTCGGATATATTGTCAGGAGGGACCAATCACTGGAGAAGGATATCATGTTTGGTAAGGTGCAGTGTCAGAGAAAAAGAGGAAGACCCCCAGCGAGATGGATTGGCCAAGTGGTAGCATCAATGGGCTCAAGTGTGGCAACAATAGTGAAGTTGGGCCAGCAGTGTTTTGTTCTGCTGTGCATAAGGTTGCTATGAGTCGTTACCAACTCAATGGCACCTAACAATAACAACAACAACGACTCCACAAGGAGCTCTGATAGAGTAATGGTTATGAGTTGAGTTGCTAACCTCAAGGTCAGCAGTTTGAAACTACCTGCTATTATGCGGGAGACAGATGAGGCTTTCTGCTCCCATAAAGATTTACAGCCTCAGAAACCCTATACAGGGTCGCTATAAATCAGAACCGACTCCACAGCACACTACTACCACCACCACCACCACCTCCACCACCAGTGTCTCTATGGAAACAAGACCTAACGATCTGCCACTGTAAAGACTGCAGCCTAAGAAACCCCATGGAGTATTTCTATCTCTGTCACATGGGGTCACTATGAGTTGAAATTGACTTGACAGCCCCAAACAGTAACACCACCCTTTGTACTACCCAGTCTCCAGGTCCAGCCTGGAACATGGGCAAACAGAAAAGGGCTGACTCAGTGTAATAAGTGGAAGACTGGTGATACCCCAAAGGAGACTTCCCTAAGGACAACTGAGTGAGTTCTTCAAGTAATGTTCAACAATACAAATGACCTTTCTTCCTATAACAGTTATCAATATAAATCATTATCCAGATTCTGTTTTCCCAGGGGGTTTCCAGGTGTCTATGCCCTACAATGACAACATACTTTAGTTAGCAGCTCATCCAAATGATCTTTGTATCTTATACTGTCCGAACTATACCTGTCCATTCTTGATGAACTGCACATCCACGGTTAAGTTGCGTAAAATATCTCCATAAGCATAATCCAGATTCCGGCCATGGAAAATGTGGCCTTTGGAATCTTGAGCCACAATACTGGTGCAGAATCTGAGAAAAGGAGAGGGTCCAGAATGAATAAAGAAAAATAAAAATTTCACTTTTAAGACAAGTTAAACAGTTTTTCTTTCTCATAACTGACACATATGCCATAGCACATATACAGGAATATGAATTCGAGATGACAACTACAACTGAACACAACTCTCTGCGGTCACTCTGTGTTAGTAAATATTTGCCCTTAACATACAAAGCATCACAAACATACAGAATCAGAGTTTCATCCTTAATCTATATCCTAAGAGAAACAGGGACCCATCTGGGCTCAGCTAGACCATGGAACTTGGCTTAGTCCTCTGCTTGGCTGTAGCTATTCCATTTAACACCTTATTAAAAGCTAGTTCCAGGTCACCACTCCTGTTTAGAAATTTCTCAGAATAAATGCAATGGCATTGACCACTCTGTTCCACAAATGTTTCCTCAAGAGAATGATCAGTTCTTTAAGAGTTTGGATCACTTTCTCTCTCCTCCCTGCCTCCCCTCCCCTTTTGAGCTTCTTGCATAGAACTGATAAGAGAACAGGATCCTTCAAGAATTCGCAGTTGGGAAGAAATATTTTGAGGAAAGGAGGGCAAGGCTTATTAAAACAAAGTAAATGTCTATATTCTCTGACAATATTTAATTTTATGTGAAAAATATTATATAGCTATATCCAATTCTCTATGTAATATTTTTCACATAATATTAAATATTCTCAGAGAATTGTTGTTGTTGTTAGGTGCCATCGATTCTCTACCGACCCATAGCAATCTTATGCACCGCTGAATGAAACACTGCCCAATCCTGGGCCAACCTCACTACTGTTGCCACACTTGAATCCACTGATGCTGCCACTTGGCCAATCCATCTCATTGGGGGGTCTTCCTCTTTTTCTCTGCCCCTCCACCTTACCAAACATGATATCCTCCTTCAGCAACTGGTCCTTCCTGACAATATGTCCGAAGAATGAGAGACAAAGTCTGGCTATCTTGGCCTCTGAGGAGCACTCTGGCTGCACTTCTTCCAAAACGGATCTATTGGTTCTTTTGGCAGCCCATGACACTTTCAATATACTCCTCCAACACCATAACTCAAAAGCATCAATTCTTCTACAGTCTTCCTTATTCACTGTCCAGCTTTCGC